AAACTATTCATCATTTGTAAATGTTTATAAACGATTACTAATCATTTATCAATTTTGGTGCTAAATTTTTTTTTTATTGCCTCAGCACTCACATTAGTATACTACTCTTCAATATATCATTGAACAGGATATTCCTTGAATCATAAATAAACAGGGGAAACATTTTTTAAAGGAAAATACTTGTTAATTTATCAAAACAATATAATATAAACAGATTGAACCGTGCTCCCTTATATTAATCAAATTGACCCCTGTACACGTCTGACCCTTTAACCAACCCATACCATCAAACGTGTCACTAACCTTACCCGTATCACTCCTCAATAGCAGCAAAAGTGTTGAGCATTGACACAAGCTTTTAATCATTTTATAACATCTGTTAAAATCATTTGTAGATTTTTAGAAGTGCCTGATCATATGGAATTGAAAGTTTAATGACATTTGTAAGCATCTTAACTTACATGAAATAATGATTTTTGTAAACATTATCTGATGTTTAATACATTTATTAGCAAACATTAACAAGCACATTATCTCACGTTTCTAACTCTTTGAATATATATTTACTAATGATCCATTAAGCATTATTTAATGTTTGTTAATGATTTATTAATGAAAGTTATTACAAAGTGTTACCACTTTGATTTACAATCACGATATTATAAGATCTATACCTATATTTCAATTTCATTTTGATATAAGTGTGCAGCCTCAATTGTTTATTTTACTGTTACTTTCGATTTAAGTAATTACTAGCTTTTCATCAACTCACTAATTCATTATCATTTCACTAAAAACACCATTAGTTTCTACATACATGCATGCAATTTTCTACATACATGCATGCTTTATTCATTTATTTATTTACTTTATCTTTTACATTCAAATTAATTTGTTAAAAATTATTTTTCTATCAACCTAATTTTATTCAAATTAGGACAAATATTGTAAAACAAAAAAGCATATTAAATCAAATCAAATCAAATCAATGAAATATAAGCTAAAAAGCAAGTAAGTATTAACTGCACACGATATTGTGCTGACTGTTCATTACCTTGAAATACGTGTTCCTTTACTTTTACTTTGAGCCCATCAATTTTGTTGAACATGTTCACATGCTTTCATACACACACACACATATAAATATATATGTATATATATATATACAGTGGGTATGGAAAGTATTCAGACCCCCTTACATTTTTCCCTCTTTGTTATATTGCAGCCATTTGCTAAAATCATTTAAGTTCATTTTTTTTCCTCATTAATGTACACACAGCACCCCATATTGACAGAAAAACACAGAATTGTTGACATTTTTGCAGATTTATTAAAAAAGAAAAACTGAAATATCACATGGTCCTAAGTATTCAGACCCTTTGCTCAGTATTTAGTAGAAGCACACTTTTGATCTAATACAGCCATGAGTCTTTTTGGGAAAGAGGCAACAAGTTTTTCACACCTGGATTTAGGGATCCTCTGCCATTCCTCCTTGCAGATCCTCCCCATATTAAATATGGCTGAAAATATGGAGGGAGGACAGCCCTGTTCTCATTAGTTTGACGTTTGTGTCCTTAATTTAGCAACCCTTCAGGTCAGTGAACACATTTATTCCAAACACTGCACAAATGTTATATCTGTAAAAAAAGGGAAACACAATCTAAATGCTTGTTGGTTCTCATCAAACAGTGAGATTGTCAGGAACTGTGTTGGAGGGAACGAACGTGGAGATGTGGATCAAAGCAACAGTCTTTAATAAATCCAAACACAGGGGATATCCACAACAAGGAATGGCTGGTGACACACAAACATGACGATTTAGACATGGCAAAGACAGAATGCGCAGACTGGGACTTAAAAACATAGGGTAGAGGACAATTAACACGACACACCTGAATCACATGAACACAATCAACTAGAGACAGAAACTGGGTCACTGAGAGAACATGGGGAGGAAAACATACACACAGACAGTCCAGTGGCGTGACAGAGATTTTATGACTAGGCTTGGGGCTTTAAAAAACATTCTTATTTAGTAAACTCCACAAGGGTGAGTATCATGTGCCCTTAAAAAAGTACTTAGCTTTAGGTTGAGAGTGATTGGCATTGTAGTAAGTGTCCAGTAAATCACTTTGTAAATGCAACAGTTAAAAGCCAGATATGTATTTTGTAGTCCAATAATTTTCCCACACTGAATTCATTTGACCTCTCCCTAACCCTCAGACACTAAATAAATAATTTTTACAAATACAATATTAACTGTGACTTTGGGGAAAATGTCACATTAAATGACACAAAAGCCCTAGAAATATAAAATGTGTGAACACAAATTTTGATTTTAGTTTCTAACAATTCATTTAATATATTTTTATTCTAGGCTTATCTATAGCTATATGCATATAGCATTAAATATGGGCTTAGAGACTGCAGACTTTACAGAGTGTCAAATTTGTTGACACTCTATTTTGAAATCTCTGTAACATGTCTCTGAGGTGTTTTATGATGCTTAAAAAGAGCAGTTACAGATTCTGATATTGGCTTCACCATTATTAGTTTACTAATGCTTCCATGTCCAGTATTAGATGGCATCAAAAACATCACCACATGAATGATTGCAGTCACACACACAATACTAAACACCGTGGTAGCTTCATAGATTGGCACAAATCAAGAACGTGCACACATTGTTCCCAAATGGTGCTTAAGCACTTGACTTTTGGCATCTCACTAGCCTAAATAAATAAATAAATAAATGGCATATATATATATATATATGTGTGTGTGTGTGTGTGTGTGTGAGAGAGAGAGAGAAAAACCTGTGCTGGCAAAATGAATCACAATGAGCAAATTTTTAAAAAATAGTTATCTTTATGTTCGCATTCTCCATTAAATTACCTTGAGAGCAGTTGAGATTATATATTATACATTGCTTTGCATGTGTTTACTGTATGTATGTGGATAAAGTTGAACGTACTGTATATCCCACTTTAAAAAGATTAAAGGGGTCATATGATGCTGCTAAAAAGAACATTATTTTGTGTATTTGGTGTAATGAAATGTGTTTATGTGGTTTAAAGTAAAAAAAAACACATTATTTTCCACATACTGTACATTTTTGTTTCTCCTCTATGCCCCGCCTTTTTGCAACGTGTCGATTTTTAAAAAGCTCATCGTCTGAAAAGTGAGGTGTGCTGTGATTGGCCAGCTATCCAGTGCGTTGTGATTGGCCGAATACCTCAAGCGAGAGTAAGCAGAGGCGGCGGGGTCGAGAACGGCGTGCCCAGCGGATTCGATGAAGGAGCGGCAACCACATGTGACGACCCCGGGCTGGACTCCGCTTCGTCCACGGTGAAAGCCGATCCGGCGATCCACAGCACTAAGTTGATGTATTCCCTCAGCGACCAGCACGGATCAGCTCTAGGCATGACGAAGCAGATATCGTCCTCTTTTGGAAGACCAAACAAAGTAGTTTCGCTTTCACAACGAAACACAGCGTCTCCACGGCATGGCGGCGGCGACAACAATACTACAGTGAGAATAAAAGTTACGCCTTCTTTCTTTGCGTGAACATTTGGGCGGCGTTATTTAAATCTTCCCACATAGTGACGTAGACATGTGGGGGCGTGTTAGAACGAGCCGTTTTAGGTAGGCGTGGTTAACTCTTAACTTTTATAAAGAATATCTCTTTGGATTTGACACTTTAGTCTTTGCAACTTTATAGATCTTCTTTATGCACCAAGAGCTTGTAACACTCCAAAGAGAAAGGAAAAATTTTAATCGCATTGTATGACCCCTTTAACAAATTAGTATTACTAGAGCTGTAAATGGGAATTCACATTACAATGTAGGTTACCAGCTATATAAAGAACAACAGGTAGCAGACACATTGGGTCACTTTATGTCTGATGATTGTATCATCGTAATTAATATACTATTTGTGCAAGAAGCACAAAAGGCTGAGAATCAAGGCCAAATGAATCCAGTGGTAATTTATTCAATTTTTCTATCTCTTCACCAGGTGTGGTCTTTGCATTATCCAGCCTGCTATTATTCCAGAGAGTCTCCTCTTGCCCCAAGGAGTGCTCATGTGACACTCATGCCAAAGTGGTGGATTGCCGAGGACGAGGATTATATGATATTCCACGTAAACTTCATCAAGATACCCTGGAGCTGTATCTCCAAAATAACCATCTCCGAGGCCTAGGCTCCTTGTCCTTTCGAGAGACACCACAACTTCAAATTCTGGACCTAGCAAATAATTCAATCACAACGCTTTCCCCCAGTTCCCTTTTGGGACTTAGAAGCTTAAAGGTCCTCAGCCTGGCCAATAACTCTATTAGGGAAGTGGATCGACACCTTCTGGTTTCAGTAAGAAATCTAACCATATTGGACTTGTCCTTTAACACCATAGGAGGTCTACCTGGAGCTCTTGCTGACAGTGTCCACTTTCTGACCCATCTGTCACTCCATTACAATCGGCTAACTAAGCTGGACCGTATACATCTGGAGGCTCTTGGTAATCTTAAAGTTCTGCAGCTGAAGGGCAATCCTTGGAGATGTGACTGTCATCTGATAGGACTCAAACTATGGTTGGAGACATTTGCCTTCAAAGGTAACAACATGGTCGAATCCACAATAGAGTGTTTATTAAAAACAATAATAATAATAATACATAGCTAAATATATATATATTTTTTTCTCACAAATGAAGAATGTAGGTAAGAATATTTTGAAATTATGACAATTCTGCTGAAATATATGCATATTTATATTGGTATTATTATATATTATTACCAAAAGCAAAAATCTGAATAATTTCTCATTTTCTATCACAGAGAAAAAAGTCAGTGATAAGCCCTTTGTAAAGTTTAGCTTGAGTGTCCTGTCTTGCACTCTGCCAGTGCCATTCTTTTCTAGGTAGGTGTGAATGAGTTAATCATGTTGAAAGGGAAACAGGTAAATTTAGCTCAAAGGGAATTGTGATATTTATAGGGAATTTTGACAGAATCACTGTTCTACGGCTGATCAACTGAATTGCCAGTGATTTATTGAACCGGCCGTATAACATCAACTCTGCAATGGATATTAATATCCAAAATATAATGAAAACATTATTTATTAGCATGTTAACAAGATCGGCAGTTTAAGACATTAACTGGTAACAAGATGCTTCTCTTTTCTATATAAATAAGACTTTATTGGACTAATCAAAGACATATAAACTAATCTAAAACATAAACACACGCACTCACACATTCACAGAAGTTGCAGAAATAGAGAAAGGGAGAAAAGAATGAGTTCAAGTGAGTGAAAATGTGAAATCCCCAGTTTATAGTAACATATGCAATTTCTTAGACCTGAACAACCATCAATCATTTAATTAACCCTTGCATTGAGTTTCTCATTGAAGCTATTAAACGTCATATTAAATGCACCAGTTCAGCTAAAATCTGGAGGTTTACTTGCGTTGCCTGTGTTTATAGGGATTCCCTTTTTGTGGCATCCTTGCAGAAAGGGGTTTCCGAAGGTTGTTGATTTGCTGGAGGTCTAGTAGTCGTCCGGTGTGACGTCTTGGCGAGCCAATCATTGGGCATCGTTTGTTGAAGAATGTTGCAGAGTTGTGGGCTGGTTGAAGTTCACCGATGAGGTCGAACTCGAATACTCTTTTACAGCAAAACTTAACTCAGAACATGAAACTCTCATTGGAAAAGAAAAGAAAATGTGAGAATGAGACCAGATGGCTTATCTCCTCATGATGTTAGAGGAGCAGCAGGCATGAAGGCCAGGAAGCCAAGCAACCCAAAATGGTGACAAAGGCACACTTGAACAAACAACATTCCAATGGTTACTGACACGACTTGTTCATGTCATGGGGTTTTAAACTCGGCTGTTAGACATATCCCTAATGGTGCTTTGACCAATTAGACATTATCTTAGCTAGGGGTGCTACTACATTTCTTCTCCCAATACATAAATCAACATGTTATCTTATTAGTCACATGGTCCGAATTTTCCCGCTCTTGCAGAGTATAATTTAGACTGGTTTCTATAACAAGAATCTGATACATAATACAAAGAATTGATTGATAGAAATGTTTCAAGTAGGACTTTTCACACACATGCATACCAAACTTGAATATAAACCTATAAACTATTCAATAGTTATTTAAAATGACTTTTTCCATGGTCTGTCTGAATACTTGACTCTGATTGGCTGGAAGGTATGCATTAAAACTTTTTAATGCACAGGTAGTTCCAAGTCACTTTAATCACCATTCTATATTAATGTGCTGCTTTAATTGATGCACACACACACACACACACACACACATCACTCTCACATAAACACAGTGAGAGGGAGAGAGGCCGGAGATTGCGCTGAGCACACACAGAAACTTTTTGTCAGTGCTGCCCTGCGACATTTATTAATAAAATAGAATAGATATTAGATCGCTACATTATCTTCCTCTGCAACGAGATAAAATCTAAGTAACTAAACCGCTTCCTTGTTTGAAGTGAGAGACGCATGACAAGCCGTTGATTATCCCTTACATAAACAATGAGTGATTAAAACGTGATAGTCAAATATGTGGGTTACATAGATGATATGGAGTGGAATGATATTTGTTCATAATTCCTTTTAGCATAATTTTGATGCATATATATCTGTAAAGACAGTCTCTGTGCCAATCTGTGAATGTGAGGACGTGCTCTGTGAGGAACAAAAGGTCCTTGTCTCTGTCTTAAATTCTTAACTAATGATTTTCCTCATGGATTTACTCGTGATGGTCATGATGTGCTGTCTCCTTGATCATTAATCTTGATTACTATCCCCAAATTTGACAATCTCCTTCCTGAGATGGAGTTATTAATAAGTGTTATTTGTTTTAATGCTGCAAGCTGTTCAAAGCTGCTAGTTAGATAGACTTGGTTCAGACTTGCTGGCGCCCCAGGGTATCTGATTTACAGCCATCCATGTGGTTATCTTGGGCCTCTTTGTAGAATTTGGCTCTTTGTGTGGTTTCAACACTGTTCTGATATCGAACCTTAAATTGTCTGATTCGCACTGATATCCTACAGCATATCTCACAATTGGATTGGCTGATCAGCTGACGTACAGTTTTAATGCAACTGGCAACCAGGAGTAGGCTCCAGATTTGGGCTGCACCTGTTAGAGCTCCATAAATTTTCCCTCCAGTCAACAGATCATGGAACATGTTTTTGCATTAGTCCTGCGTGTCCCTTTTGAACTGCTGCTGTGAGTTTATTTGAAATGTTGAAGCATGGGGTGACCTGCTGTTTAATTCATGACTGGGATGGTGGATTTAATTTCCATAACTTTCACATACTGTCAATATAAACTTATTACAAAAACAGTTCTGCTAAACCTACACCTACACAGTTTTGCTCAGTTTTGATATCTCATGGCTTGCTTGCACCACGCAGAAATAGAAAACGTAGTTTTCTGGTTACCAGCCCTGAGCTTTACATAAGGGCTTATTACACTAGTTAACCCTGTGTCATTCTAAACCCGGGGTAAGCAAAATTGAGGATTATCTTTTTTCACATTTTACAGTACACTGCTCATAATTTTTCCAGGGTATTAACAATTAATCCTGGGTATTCATAAGCTGACATTTCAGACTTTAAAGGAAGGGCCAAGTATGGTGTCCCATACTTGAAATTTGTGCTCTGCATTTAACCCATCCAAGTGCACACACACAACAGTGAGTAGTGAACAAACACACACACACCCGGAGCAGTGGGCAGCCAATGCTGCGGCGCCCGGAGAGCAGTTGGGGGTTCCTTGCTCAAGAGTTTCACCTCAGTCATGGTATTGAGGGTGGAGAGAGTGCTAAATATTCACTCCCCCCACCTACAAGCCCTACCAGATCTGAGACTCAAACCCACGACCTTCAGATTACAAATCTGATTCGCTATCCATTAGGCCACGACTGTCCTTTACATTCCCCAGGTAAAAAGTGGCACTAAGACCGCTTATAAATTACAAGTGTGAAATGTTCCTCTACCCAAGGTTAAAAGTAGGCTTTAGAACGATGATAACCCGGAGTTAAGCTCTGTGAAAAAATATATAGTGAAGACAACCTTCATCTGTTAGGCATTTCAGCTTCATCATTTTCTGTTGTTCTTAGGTGGAGTGGTCGACAGCGTCACATGTGTCCAGCCTCATCTTATGCTGCAGCAGGACCTCCGGCACATTTCCTACGAGCTTTTCCACTCCTGCATGATCACCAGCTACAGCTACCTGTTCACCAACATCCATTACCTGGACAATAAGCATCGCATGCTCAGCGGACAGCTCCATCCAAGCCCCAGAGCACCATCCGGGAGTGATTTCAGCCCCTCAGGAGAAGCGATACTCCCTGAGTGTGAGGCCAAGCAGAGATCCCGGCCTGTGAACTACAGACGCGCCATAGCCACAGTGGTTATCACGGGAGTGATTTGTGGAATTGTGTTTTTGATGATGTTGGCAGCAGCTGTCTACGGATGTGCATATGCAGCAATTAATGCCAAGTATCAAAGGGAGCTGAAGAAGAAAGCAAAAGAGGCGGGTTCAGGAGACAAGCGGAAAAACATTGAAAGAGAGAAGGACAAGGAACCTCTGGAGTGACGCGAAGATCGGCATCACATGATGCACATGAGCACAAATACACACCAAGGATACACTTCAGATTATCCACATACTGTTGTGTATCTACAAAGTTCCTTTTAATGCAAGTCAGTGTACTTGGCAGCCATATTGGCAATGCCCCTGGGGCAGCTATTTTCTAATTATGCAGATACAGATCCTACCTGAAAGGGGAAAGACGTAAATCTCCAAAACTGTCCATCAAGATTTCGTTTCAATAGCACGTTTTCATTTTATTTTATTTTATTTATTTTTTTATTTTTTTATTTTAGCTTCACCTCTTAAGACCCAGCAAAACATTTTAGGGAAAAAAATTGAATTTTTTCATGTCATAACATTGTTTATAGCATTAACAGCATTTTTTTTTAATGATGTTTCATTCATAAGTTATGCTACGTCTTCGGTAGAGGACATCGGGACTCAATTTAAAAAATAAATAAATAAAAAGACATGAATGAACATGCATAGGCAAAAACAATTTTTTTTTTTTTTTAAATCACCAATACATTATCTTTGTATAACTATGTTATAACAGAATTATTTGATATACCATTTTTCTTTATGCAAAATGTGTGTAAAATGGCCATAAACAGGTTTTCTCATTATATATAATGTATCTATAAACTAAATCTAATTTGCATATTAGTTTGTTTTTGGGGCAACGTAATGAAAAAAGAAGTGTAATAATGGGAGTAATAATTGACAAGATTTTCATAATAATATATAATATTTCATAGGAATATTGAAATATAATTTCTTTCCCTATTCATTTGTTGTGTCTCCCAGAATGTGTAATAAACATGCTTTTAGTCCCGGAGTCCTCATATGAGGACATGTATGAAATCAACGTCCTGTTTCGTAACAGAAAGTCATATTTTGATTTGAAACCCCATAACATTTTCCTGAGATGTTGATTCATGACACACAGCTAAAAAATTAGTCAGATTTAAATGATAATTACAAAATATTATCATATTTCCATAAGAGTGTCACTAAATTAATATCAGACATTTTTGAAGACCAAGAAGAGGGAGTGGTCATGGTGAAACATCCAAACATTTAGTATCTCTGCCCTGAATGTGTTCTGTACAGGACATCCAGACTTAAAACTGTGGCATGTACAATCTCAGAGAAATTCACTAAAATATAATGTTCTCATATGAGAATGCAGGGTCTCAGGAGGATAAATTAGGCTAGAAAAAAATAAAATTTTTAGGCTGGTCAAACAACTGCACATGCATGTTCTAGACTAAAAACAACAGCCGATACTTTTGACAAAAAGGCAGTTGGCCCTTTTTCTCCGTTTTCTCTAGTCATGTAGCAAGCAAACGAATAAACAAAAAAGCAATGCCTTCCTACTGCATAAATAGCCAAGTTTTATTAAAAGCTCATCTTGCCAGCAGTAAATTATCCCTTTAAATGTCCAGCACAATGCTGCCAAATAGTAGCCAGCTCACAGTTTATGGCCTAATACAGATTTCAAACTTATTTGAAGGCAAAGAAAACTGCCTCTCTCCCTTGTCACAATTATTTGATTTATTTCTTTATTTTTTCAGTACTGTGCACATCTTTGTGAAATCAACTGCAAATGAGGAGGAGATGGATAGTGTAGTTAAGACACAAAGTTCCTGATTAGTTCTATAAACGCCATAAAAAAAAGAATGTTTTATTGTGTGCAGGGTGACGAGCTTTCATGTTTCAGGTGTAATCCCTTGAATAAACTGAACAACAGGACATCCATTCCCACAGCTCTCGTATTGAGAAATGTAATTTTGCCAATTGATTTTTCTATATGTACTCTATCTCTGCCCCTTTGTACAGTCTCTGGTATCTATTGTAACTTTTTAAATGATAATACTGAAAACTGAGGGGACAATCCCCTCCTGCTGTTTACAGTATTGCAGCTCAGCTCTATAGACAAAGCAATATCAATTCCCACTGAGCTTTAGTTAGGCCAAAGATTTATGTGAGCATATCAAACGTATGTGTTTTAATCGATCCTGTGTCACCTGTTTACCCTTTTTTCCCCTTAACGGGGCGGGGGGTGGGGGGAAGTTGTGTGAATGGCTGATTCTAATACAAGTATTGCGATTCTGCTCGTGACACAGAAATTACAGTCACACAGAAGTTAATTACAGTCTACTGCATAATTTAAGATCTTTAATAAAAAATATGATAAAATATGATGAATGAACGATTCCTATCAGTTCATAATTAGGTCATGTAGACAGATCCTTATATCAGTGTGCTCTATTGAATAAGCAGCCATGTAAATATACAGATACAAACAGTGGATAAAGAGATTCTGAGCTCTTGAGAAATGAGATGACAAGAAGGAAATAGTGATACAGATGGAATATACAAGATTATATAAACGTGCATATGAAGGGTTGATCTGTCAGAAATGATCTATGTATGTTATACAACATCAGACCACACAGCTAAGCAATATATTGTACATTGGTAAAGTTTACATGTCCTGCAAGGTGCAACATGCTAAAATAATTTTAAATAACATTGTGTTAATTCCTTTTTTATTATCATAAAGCAGCCTTTAAGATAAACGTTTTTTAGAAAGTACACTGAATATTCATACTCTTAAAAATACATTGGTCACACACCCACACGCCAGAATTTTTTGAATTACATTTTAATTTAATGCTATGGCTGTCATCAAGCACAAATCACATTCAAGTTGTGATTATAGGTCGAAATCTGTAACCTGGCCTTTAAAACACATCAAGGACATGCACACATGCCCCGGTTACACAAGAGTGTTCTGTCATCAGCATGTCAGGCTGCATTAGTGTGTGCTGCAATGCACTTGTGAAACTTGTATCACATCTAAAGCACTGTATGAACATATATATAATTATTCTTTTCAAATCAAATCAACCAACACTCATTGAGCCAGAAAGTTCAAATTGTCATATATCTGTGGTATATGTGTATGAACTTGTATGAAAAAATAATTGTTAAATGTGTTCCTTAGTGATTCGCATTAAAGCATAACAATGAAAGATGTAAAAGATACATCCAATTTCAAATATATAAAATAAACAACATGAAATACTGTATAGAACTTGATTTTAGTTGTGTGTATGTCTGCTCCAGCAAAACAATGAATCATGCGCAGTAGAGGGTGAAAATCTGTCTCTTCTACTTCATTTCTCTGTCAGTTATAACATGAATCATTTGTGCATGAGCGTATGTGTGTGAGTGAGTGCTCCTCCAGGCTTATGCTCAAAAACACGTTCTAATTTTCTCTCCGTGTTATTCTCTTTCCTTTCATCCATTCCTACTGTTTGTGTGTAGTGTTTCTTTTTGCTCACATGGGTTATGTCTTTAGCTCTCCATCTCACAATCCCTCTCATATATAAACACTTCCAGTGCACAGAAGAAAAAAACAAAAAACGTATGATTCTGTAAAATAAGCAGTGATATTCATGCAAGGTTAGAGGGCGAGTGTGGTACCTGCAGCGATGGGCCACTCTCTCTCATCCAACAATTGAATGGCGCTGCTGGCCAAAACCACACTCTTATTCTCAGAATCTGAAACACAGAGATACAGATCATTTCCCACAAATAGTATAGAGGAGACCAGGCCAGCACTTTCTGTTTTAATGTGCAGCTATGTGTTTCTTGTGCTCTACTGATCTCAAATCATTGTCTGGAACACTAATGAATCATGCGCAGTAGAGGGTGAAAATCTGTCTCTTCTACTTCATTTCTCTGTCAGTTATAACATGAATCATTTGTGCATGAGCGTATGTGTGTGAGTGAGTGCTCCTCCAGGCTTATGCTCAAGCATACACGTTCTAATTTTCTCTCTGTGTTATTCTCTTTCCTTTCATCCATTCCTACTGTTTGTGTGTAGTGTTTCTTTTTGCTCACATGGATTATGTCTTTAGCTCTCCATCTCACAATCCCTCTCATATATAAACACTTCCAGTGCACAGAAGAAAAAAACAAAAAACGTATGATTCTGTAAAATAAGCAGTGATATTCATGCAAGGTTAGAGGGCGAGTGTGGTACCTGCAGCGATGGGCCACTCTCTCTCATCCAACAATTGAATGGCGCTGCTGGCCAAAACCACACTCTTATTCTCAGAATCTGAAACACAGAGATACAGATCATTTCCCACAAATAGTATAGAGGAGACCAGGCCAGCACTTTCTGTTTTAATGTGCAGCTATGTGTTTCTTGTGCTCTACTGATCTCAAATCATTGTCTGGAACACTAATATGAGATTTTCTGTCATTTTGACAATTAACACATTATATTTCCCTGCTTTAGAAGCATTCAAGTAAACACTGCTGATAGGGATTAGAAGTGAAGAAGGCAAGAAAATTGAATTTTCTTTTATTACCTTTATTTATTTTATTAAATTACTTTAAGTGCACATGTGAAAACATCAGGAACGAGACCTGAATGAGGATTTGGGAAGAAAATTAGACATTCATTGCCGTGCATTCCAGGGAATTTTCCATACTGCTACCACAAGAGTGTGGTGTGTGTTGTCTTTTCCGCAGAAAAGTGAAAAAGAAAATGAGGTTCTCCGAACTCACCAAATTGAAAAGAGACTTTGTCACATATATTCTTGTGATACCAATGTCAAATTAAAATGCCAAGCACTAGATTATTTTCTTGACTGAAAATGTACAGTTCATTCAGTCAAATGGGCAGATAAGGATTATTTGCAACATTATTATTTAAAAGGATCTGTTTCAGTCTTTTTAAATGTGGAAGTTCCTCAAATCATAAATGCCATCCATAATTTAAAAGGCAGTAGACTCGTTTGGGAAAGGGTTGATACGATTGCTATTTAATTTAATAAACTGCAGAACTACTACTGTAAACAATGCTGTAAAACTAGTAATTATCATCCATGAATATTCTGTAAATTCATTGCATTTTTAGAGTGTTCAGTTAAGATGAATGGTAAATAATCCATTATTTATCCCTAACAAATCATTATCTTAGAATGCAATCTCACGCATTATTACTCCACTAATTATGCAGTGCAGTATACTTGGTTTAAGGGGAGGAGATGGAGGTCTATCTAAAAAGATATGTCCATGCAATAATATTTATTTCAGAGAGCAAAATAAAAAATGTGATGCAGCCATTCCCATAGAAAAAATGTATTGCTCAGTGTTTGCTTTTCCTAAGCTCAGGAGACTTAGATGAGATTCTCATATATCTCTTATTTTAGTACCAACAGCATTTCAGATGTTTCTCCTAAAATTCCTTAGTAGAAACAGAAGTAGACACAAATGAGAAAATA